GGACTTGAGGTGGTTTGCAGTGGTTGAACCCCATGCACAGATACCATAATTAAGATAGGGATAGATTAGTGCATAATATAGAGAGATGAGAGTAGAGTTAGGTACATAATATCTGATTTTGGAGAATAAACCAACTGTTTTAGAGACTTTCTTAGTTATGTGTTGTATGTGGGTGCTGAAGTTGAGTCTCTTGTCTAGGAATAGGCCGAGAAACTTTCCATCATTTTTATTGCTAATGTTTACATTGTCTATATACTAACGAATGACAGGTGGAACAGGGGATACTAACGAATGACAGGTTGAACAGGATATACTAACGAATGACAGGTTGAACAGGGGATACTAACGAATGACAGGTTGAACAGGGGATACTAACGAATGACTGGTTGAACAGGATATACTAACGAATGACAGGTTGAACAGGGGACACTAACGAATGGCAGGTTGAACAGGAGACACCAACAAGGGCCAGACTGAGCAGCAGACACCAACAAGGGCTAGACAGAGCAGGGGGACACCAACATGGGCCAGACTGAGCAGGAGACACCAACAAGGGTCAGACTGAGCAGGGGGACACCAACATGGGCCAGACTGAGCAGGAGACACCAACATGGGCCAGACTGAGCAGGAGACACCAACAAGGGCCAGACTGAGCAGGAGACACCAACAAGGGCCAGACTGAGCAGGAGACACCAACAAGGGCCAGACTGAGCAGGAGACACCAACAAGGGCCAGACTGAGCAGGAGACACCAACAAGGGCCAGACTGAGCAGGAGACACCAACAAGGGCCAGACTGAGCAGGAGACACCAACAAAGGCCAGACTGAGCAGGAGACACCAACAAGGGCCAGACTGAGCAGGAGACACCAACAAGGGCCAGACTGAGCAGGAGACACCAACATGGGCCAGACTGAGCAGGAGACACCAACAAGGGTCAGACTGAGCAGGAGACACCAACAAGGGCCAGACTGAGCAGGAGACACCAACAAGGGCCAGACTGAGCAGGAGACACCAACAAGGGCCAGACTGAGCAGGAGACACAAACAAGGGCCAGACTGAGTAAAGGCTTGGTGGTGATGGTGGGGTTGGAACAATTGATCTGTTACTGCCTGTCACATATAAATAGTATGCAAAATATTGCAAGTTGCATAACAGAGACCATCTTCCTCAGATTAATATATTCTGATCTGTCTCATGTCATGACTTTTAATGTAATCTGAGCGAACTCAGATTACATTAATCAGATCTAAGCTCAGAATCAGATTACATTAATTAGATTACAGCTCAGATTTAATGTAATCTACAGTCTCTGAGCGAACTGTGGCAGTGTACAGAACACCTGTATGGCTCGGATAGTTTGGGGCTTTCTTTAGGCCTAACAACTTCTTGTGGGCTACTGAGGTCACCACAACGGCTTACTGACCAACCAGCAAGTATATTTTATTCCTGTTCTTATTTCTAGATTTAACTCAATGTATATACACCAAGGCCCGGAATACACTTCTCGGTGTATATATCCTCCAGGACAGGTGTGTGGCCCCAGGCACGCTGGGTGATACAGGTGTTTCTGTCTCATAACGGAGGGAATTTCAATGCCTGGGAGGCGTGATCCTTGAGCGTTGCTGAAGAGTGTGTTTAAATGAATTACATGTTGGTACAGTTACAAGCGAACTCCTCCTGTGCTCATTACTGTTTGTGTTCGTTGCTTGTACGAGTCTTAAGGTGCTGGCCTCTTCCTTATCATTGTAAAATATATTAAGATGTATAATATCCGTACTGAGTGGGACTGATTGAGGTGAGGTGGGTCTCCGTCAGCGGGTCAACGACTTTAGTGTAGTGCTAACACTTACCACAGGATAGTGTCCGCTTTCTTAGATCTTCGGCAAGTCTTAAACATACATCTGCAAATTGTTTATAAGCATATGCACTCTAGCATACTTAATTTTATTGACGTCTTTTATTTTATATATTTTAATATTTATAAGCAGCAAGGTAATATTTACACATTTGTAGAATGCCGTGAGAAGTGTGAAGGAGGCGGTGTAGTGAGTGGAAGTGGATAACGGGACTGCTGCTGGGGGCTGGGGGCGGGAGGGAGGTGCTCATCAGCTGGTCGCTGCTCTTCACCACAGTCTGACTGGAACGGCCACCCCAGTAACATCTAGGCCACGGCAGTATATAACCTGTGATGATGTTCGTATATTTATGTTAGAATGTTCAAGTTGAAGAACTGATTCTACTTACATTTGTGAATGCTGGAAGGAAGAGTTCTAAACTCAATGACTTTTTTACCTGACTTACAGTAGATACAAGATATCCATCTAAATTTATACATTCCGCCGGACATTCAGTTTTGTGAGTAATCTGTGACAGTATTTACGAAGTGCGCGCGGGAGAAGGCAATTCAAGAGTAGGAGACAAAATTTGTCATCCTAATTTACAAGATGTGGAAAAGACAGTGGGAGGTGTGGGTGGTGGTGATGGTGACGCTGGTGGCGTGGGCGACGGGTGGAGAGGTCGCACAGTTACCCACACCATCAAGCTATTCCACAAATACAGCCACTACTCGCCTGAAAGAGGTTCAGAAGAAGTTCTTGGATGTAATAGGAAACTCAACATCGTCCATGCATAGTATATTAGATTTAATGAGTCTGTTGCACTCTGACACCGGTCGTGAGCTGGGGCAGCTACTGATGGAGGGCGTCATACTAGGGGCGAAGCAGAAGAATTCTGCCACACTCCTCTATCAGTTCTGGAGTGAATTGCAAGAGCGAGTCCCTCCTGAGTTAACAAAAACTGTGGATGACTACCGCGACTTCTTCTCTGGAATGGACTTGATGACGCTGCCGTTGGTGTGGGAACAGTTGTTTCAGAAGAACGAGCTTGGCAACAGCTTGGCAGGAATGCCGTTGGGCCAACTTGTGGAGTTGGTACAACCTACAGCTTCTAGATATGGCATAGATATCCGGGCTTTCGTAAACTCCCTCGTGGGAAAGGGGGATAACAATGTTAGGGATCTCATAATCAGCGTCATGAACAACTTCGACCTATCATCTTTAATGAATATTTTCTTAAATTCAACATCTGGAGCCACAGCAGTGCAGAAGAAAGACACCGATTTCAAGACAAATGCCAACGTTCGCTTCGGAAATGAAGAAAAACCCCAAAAGGGAAAAGCAGACAAAACTCTGCAACTGTTCAGGCCGTTGGTGGCATCTTTACTACGTGAAAACGACTTGGATCTGGACGCTGACGCGGTGCTGAAGGTGGTAACGCCTTTCATTACTGGGAACCTGCAGGCCCAAGCCGCCCCCTTCTTATCAATGTTGGGTTCCCAGGCTCCCGTTATCGCTAACTTATTACGGGGTGGAGAAGGCCAGCAAAATATACAAAACCAGATGGGCAATCTTATTGGAGGACTGGGCGCATTGATGGCCGGTGGAGGCAAGGACAAGATGGACTTTCAGGATATGCTGGGTATGGCGTCTATGTTCATGAACACTTTTAAGCCTGCCAGAAACAAGAAAAAGGACAAAAAGGAAACTCCTAACACTGGTTTTGATCTGAACACACTGGTAACTTTTGCAGGTCAATTAACAGGTAAAAGCGATATTAACATAGCTTCAATTTTGAAAGCTACGTCCAATTTCCTCTCTCCAGACAAAGTGAAAAATAAAAATCAAACCAACAAAAAGCATATCCAACAAAATATTAAACAGTCAACCATCGAGAAGCAAGAACCTCCCAAAGAAATAATTGACAAATCTCAGCATAATAAGAAAGCAAATGTCGACCACAAGCCTAAAGCCACGTCAAAGAAAAATATAGCAAATAATCTCATTAACGTCATTGAGCCGATTTTGCTGTCAATGCAAACTGACCAGAAATGTAACAAGAAGATTAAGGATGCTATCTCATTCGGGAAGTCTATGTTGCACAGCCGGATGTCCAGCTTATTTGACATTGACATACTGTTATCCTACATCTTGTCTTCGCTGGGAGATGGAAACGCCGAAGGGCTCGGTACGGAGGGTATGGTGGCTTCCACAAAGGAAGCCTTGGCTCACGCCAGTTGGAACGACTTTTTCGAAAACTTAATAAACAAAGAATACCGAGAGACGCTTATACAAAAAATCTCCCCATACATTTCGGACATAGTGATTGCGTTATCCAAACAAGAGTCTCAGGACAAACTGTATGAAATGGCAGTCTCTAAGATCGATGACTTCTTCACTGAGAACGGTATGCGAGGAGTCACACTCAAAAACTTCCCGGCGCGCCTTGCCCCCATCATCGGTATGCTGGCCAAAGGCTGGAACCTGCCCTTCAACCCCACCATCATCCTAGTTCCGCTGCGGGACTACATAACAGGCCTTCTGGTGTGGGCCAAGGCTGGCCTTGTACATGTTCGCACCCTCTCCAAAAAGCACGTTAGTATTCTTTACTATTGACCTTAAAGCATTTGGCTGTGGCATCTTAGTGTATTGAGTTCTTTTTATCTTTGTCATTGATAACGAGTTATAACTGCATTAAAACAAATGAATATTAATTCTGCTGAAACGATTTACGCTGTCCCGTAGGATTTATTCTTGAATAGATGAAAGATTAACAGATGCAGTTCAGTATTGACAAATGTAGGGTTCGGAGCTTATATACAGGAAATCACGTTGAGCCCGTCCTCTGAGCAAATCCATTATCATGAGAGACCCCCATCCTCAAACCACCTGGGTAGTTAACTAGATATTTGTGATGGTCTGAAAGCATATTACGGTTCCAGTAATAGTCTACATGTAAACTGGGAAGTGAACCTTTGTCCTAAACAGATTATTCTAAAGTTATAACTTTATTGTATTATAAATATTTAAAAAAATAGAAAGTGCATATGCTGAAAACATTTTTTTTCAAGAATTTGGGTTTCAACAATCCAGTTTCTGTAAACTGGGTTGTTGGGTACACTGAAATAGATGTAGGAAGATGACCACTAATTGCTGGGCTACTAATCTTAGTAGCCCTCAGATAATAGTTTTGAATTTCATATTTCACATTATTGTCAATAATACACCATATTAACGTAACGAAACCTAACCGAATCAAACCTAAAGGTAAAGTAACCTAATCATGAATAAGTCGGGTACTTATCAACTGGGTGCCAAGTCATGTGAGAATAATAGGAAATGATATTGAACATAAGAACATAAGAAGAACATAAGAACAAAGGTAACTGCAGAAGGCCTATTGGCCCATACGAGGCAGCTCCTATTCTATAACCACCCAATCCCACTCATATACTTGTCCAACCCGTGCTTGAAACAATCGAGGGACCCCACCTCCACAATGTTACGCGGCAATTGGTTCCACAAATCAACAACCCTGTTACTGAACCAGTATTTACCCAAGTCTTTCCTAAATCTAAACTTATCCAATTTATATCCATTGTTTCGTGTTCTGTCCTGTGTTGATACTTTTAATACCCTATTAATATCCCCCCGGTTATGTCCATTCATCCACTTGTAAACCTCTATCATGTCACCCCTAACTCTTCGCCTTTCCAGTGAATGCAACTTAAGCTTTGTTAATCTTTCTTCATATGAAAGATTTCTAATTTGGGGAATTAACTTAGTCATCCTACGCTGGACACGTTCAAGTGAATTTATATCCATTCTATAATATGGCGACCAAAACTGAACTGCATAATCTAAATGGGGCCTAACTAGAGCAAGATATAGCTTGAGAACCACACCAGGTGTCTTGTTACTAACGCTGCGATTAATAAATCCAAGTGTCCGATTTGCCTTATTACGAACATTTATGCATTGATCCTTTTGTTTTAAATTCTTACTAATCATAACTCCCAGATCCCTTTCGCAATCCGACTTCGCAATCACAACACCATCTAGCTCGTATCTTGTAACTCTATCATCATTACCTAACCTCAGAACTTTACATTTATCAGCATTAAACTGCATCTGCCAATCCTTTGACCATTTCAAAACCCTATCTAGATCAACTTGAAGTGATAGTGAGTCCTCCTCCGAATTAATTTCCCTACCGATTTTCGTATCATCGGCAAATTTGCAAATGTTGCTACTCAAACCTGAATCTAAATCATTTATATATATTATAAACAACAGAGGTCCCAGGACAGAGCCTTGAGGCACTCCACTTACAACATTTTCCCACTCTGACTTGATTCCATTTATACTAACTCTCTGTTTCCTTTGGTATAGCCATGCCCTAATCCAGCTTAATATAGCACCCCCAATACCATGAGACTCTATTTTTTTAATCAGTCTTTCATGTGGCACTGTATCAAAAGCTTTGCTAAAGTCAAGGTATACAACATCGCAATCCTTACCACTATCAACTGCCTCAACAATGCTAGAATAAAAAGATAACAAATTTGTTAAACATGAACGGCCATTTATAAAACCATGTTGCGACTCAATTATTAATTTATGTTTTTCAAGATGAAGACGAATTTTATTTGCTATTATAGATTCGAGTAACTTTCCCACAATAGACGTTAGGCTAATTGGTCGATAGTTAGACGCAAGTGATCTATCTCCTTTCTTAAAAACTGGTATCACATTAGCAACTTTCCAAAACTCTGGCACTCTGCCTGACTCTATTGATTTATTAAATATGGTTGACAGTGGGTCACAAAGCTCCTCTTTGCATTCTTTAAGCACCCTAGCAAACACTTCATCCGGCCCTGGGAATTTGTTTGGTTTGAGTTTTACTATTTGTTTAAGAACATCCTCCCTGGTAACTGCTAAACTCGTCAACCTGTCCTCGTCCCCACCCACATAGACTTGTTCGGCTGAAGGCATATTGTTAAGTTCCTCTTTAGTAAATACAGATACAAAATATTTATTAAAAATACTACTCATCTCTTCATCACTATCTGTTATTTGACCTGTCTCAGTTTTTAATGGACCTATCCTTTCCCTAGTCTTAGTACGATATAACTGAACAAACCCTTTAGGATTTGTCTTTGCTTGCCCTGCTATGCGAACTTCATAGTTCCTTTTTGCTTTCCTTATCTCTTTTTTAACATTTCTAACCAGTTGTACGAATTCCTGTTCTAAAGTGACCTCCCCATTTTTAATCCTTTTGTACCAAGCTCTCTTTTTACCTATAAGGTTCTTCAAATTCTTTGTTATCCACTTTGGGTCATTAGTATACGATCTATTCAATTTGTATGGTATACTACGTTCCTGTGCTTTGTTTAGAATATTCTTAAATAAGTTATATATTGAATCCACATCGAAATCCCCATTTAAGTCACCTATCGCTGGGTTCATGTCTCGCTCCAAGACCGGCCCACACCCCATACCCAAGCCTTTCCAATCAATTTGACCCAAAAAATTTCTTAGGCTATTAAAATCAGCTTTTCGAAAATCTGGCACTTTAACAGAATTTTCTCCTACTGGTCTATTCCATTCTATGCTAAATCTGATTTCTTTGTGATCACTGCTCCCTAGCTCACTCCCTATTTTG